ATCGTTTTATATAAATTATTAATCAGTAATTTTAGAAAATATTAAAAGGAAACATTAAAACATTTAATTAAAATTATCTATTCAATCATATTTTTCAAAGTTTTCAATTTTAATTTTTGAAATTTATAAAATTTAGAAGTATTACTCGAAATTTACTTTTAAAAAAAGAAAGCGAAAAAGAGGTATATCCAGATATATTTATAATTTTAATGATTTTTGACATTATTCCAACTTATTATTATATATTTACAATTATATATTTTATAATATGTATTATAAATATGTTCTGTCTTTCACTTCGGTGACTTTCTATCTTTTAAAAATTATAGTCAAGAGTATAGAGGTTTTAGATTGGATTCTTATCTCTTATCATATTTCCTTTATAGATTACATATAACAGGTAGTGTAATTTGATAATCTATGGCACAACCCTGATCATGATTATGCGGCAGTACGCGCAAAAGCAAATGGAACAGTGTCGCGGGCTCGGGTGTCTTGAATTGCTGTCGCTTTTCGCAATTACGAGCCGCTGATCCTTTCACTATTTACACACGCACGTTTCAGAGTTCACGAGGTTAGTGTTAACGACTTTAAGCACTGTACGATCTCAAGGGACACGCATGATTTCCGCACGTATCTTTTCCTCGTTGCATTAATTCAAGTAGCTGGTTTAATATTTAATAAAATTATTCCTATTTATGAGCACGCAAAATTTTGTATATACACATACACATTGAAATTTGGAAACGGAATTTGTTGAACAATTTGTGTAATATATTATTAAAATGTTTTCAAAGAATTGCACATTGTACAATAAAACAAATGTATCTTGCAATAACAATGACGCGTTATAAGAAAAAAGATAAAAGTGATAAAAAAGATTTATAAAATCTCGACAGTAAATTGGAGATTTGATATAATAAAGAATTTTTTCATTATTTTACAATTTTATTAATGAGCTTTTCTTATATTAAATCTTCAATTACTATATTTTCAAATAATAAATTTTATGTGTGTGTGTTGTGTGTGTGTGTGTGTGTGTGTGTGTGTGTGTTTTGTTGTATTATATAATATTTTATTGATTTCGAAAAAAAATTTTGTAAATTTTAAAGAACTTATAATAATAAAAAAATGATATGTACAAAAATACATTCATTAGTTTATGAATTAATTATGAAATAATTCATTTATCGATATTAAAAACAAAAAATCATTCATAAAGTAATAAAAAATCCGAATCAATTACTAATCAAAGTTATATTATGTATATAATTGCATAAGCTATTGCGTTATTGGTTTCCATAAATTTAATTCATGAAATCCAATGCCTTAGCAATTTTGTGTATTCATTTTAAATCTTTATACTAATTATGATTATGATACTAATTATGAAAATGTGTGTGTAAATATATCACAAATATCTATTACAAATATTTATTTAGATTTATTTAGAAATTGCATTGCATTAATTTTCCGGTAATACGATATTCATCTGTAAATAAAGATCATTATTTAAAATAATTATTATTGATTATAAATAAGAAAAATACAAAATTTATGAAAAGACAAGCATTAGCAATTTTAACTAATTACTAATTGCGCTTGATTAATACCTGTGTTATGTTAATCTTGAAACAAACATTTAATAAATTAAAATTGATTTTCATATTTCAATTATTTTGAGATCTAACTGTCGTTTTACATTACTAAAAATACATAAACTAGAAGTATAAAAATTAATTATTTTACAATATAAATTAGAAATTTGACTTAGAGTAAGGATAATTAATGTATACATCTTAAATAAGATATATCGAAATAGATGTTATTGTAATAGGAGAATATTATCGATTAAAATAGAAAAGTATTTTTTAAGCAAAGATTTAAAAAATAGGTAAATTATATAGAGTAAAAAAAATATATATATTTTGGAAAGTTTTCGATAATGAAAAATAATAAGTGTAAAATAAATTTTAGTATAAATGTATATTCAGATCTATGTCTGTCTTGTTGATAGATGTATGACGAAGGAGAGAACATTGTGACCGTACTGCTTGAAAAGAGTGATGATATGGTAGAAGAAAAAGGACGATATCTCAGCATTGATAAATACAACGGTAGTCCCGGACTGGCACAATGGGGATACGTCAAAACGGAAGGCAACGAGACGCGAAAAGAGTAAAAACACCTTTTTGAAATAATTATACCGCGGAAAGTTATGTTTTTCTTTGTAGGCAGACGAATTTTAGCTAAAGCGTTTTATTGTTTGAATAAAATTATCCGTCGTATTGATCTTGACTCAATACACACGAAATAGAATGAGAAAAGCAACGCAGATATCGTTTTCTGTCAAAAGGTGCTAAGTAACATTTTAAAACACAACAAGAATACCATAAAGGTTTATAGAGGTTTTTGTTAAAAAACAAACAGCACATTAAATTGAGATACTTTTGACGCAAACAGCTAATGCAAACGCAAACAAGGCAGAGGGAGTTAAATATTGTGAGAAATATTGGAAATGTCGATGTGTTTGATAAAAGTTACTGCGTATTTTCGTGACATCATAATTCGTACAATTTTTTCTTGGACAATTTTTTTAATATTTACCGACATCCTTCGACAAATTTATTTTTTTCTTACAACGTACAAATCTTGCTAATGTGACTAAAAGCTAACGGTTAAATTAACGGTTATTATGTTAGTTAACTTTGACATAGCTGTGTATTAATAACAAAGAAAATATTTTTTGTCCCGATATGTAGAAATTAATAAGAAAGGTACTTACATATAAAATTACAAGAAAAGAATAAAATAAGATATAGTAAAAATAGGATCCAATAAAATAAGCTAAGATAAAAGAATAATATAAGATATACAAATATATTTAAAAGAGATATTAACCCTATGTGGCCCTATATGGGTATTTCCGGACGATTTCTATTTATAGAAATTTCTCAGCATGTTGAAGAGTCCCGGATTTATATTACATTTTAGTTTCTTGCACAATGAAGTACAGGTATTTGTCCTAGAAACTTGAAAGTATATCTGAATTTTTACAGATTTTTCGAACCACTTTAAAGAAAAATCACTTGAAAAAAAGGGCCGGTTCGAGAAATCTATTTAGAGTCACATGTGATGCCGTTATTCACAAAAGTCACTAAGGGTTAAGTCTCACAGTTATAAAATTGTATATGTTAATGATAAATTTTGTATGCAATTGGGATATTATGCAAAAAATTAAAAAGCAATTTTTTAAAAAAGAGCAGGATAAAGATGAAATTTTTTAATGTATATATTTGTTATTTTATTTTATAGATCATGTAAAATTCTATCAATATTATTTATTAGTCAATCATTCGATTGAAACGTATCAATTAAAGCTGTTATTTAATATTTCTATTATTTTTATGATACATCATTTAATGATGCAACTTAAATAGTTTATTCTTTTTATTGTAGGAATTCAATTTGTAATAGGATCCAAGGTGCTACGGAAGGTATTGTATTCCCATCGAACATGAACAAGCAAGCCATTTTTCGGATCTTTAGGAAGGCGTTCTGTCGGACGTTACCAATTACGTTTAGAAAAGAAGTTTTGACAGATACCGGGATACCAGGATATCTTTATACTCTCACAGATGATTTCGCCGACCCGCCCGATCAGAATCCGGACAACGAATGTTACTGCCGTAAGAAGAAGACCTGTTTGAAGAAAGGATTGACTGACGTAACGCCGTGTTACTACAGTACGTATCTGGCTAAGCTAAGTCAAAAATGGCAAATTTAAAAATGCTCAACAAGATTGCCTCTTTCCTTCTCTAGTACTTTTCTTCTAAATCATATTCTTATATTGTGAAATCATTTATATATAACAAATATATTAAACTTATTAAATATTAAAAATAAATAATGTTATACATGTATAATATATATATATATATATATATATATATATATATACATATATATATTTTAATATATATATAAATATATTAAGAAATATATATTAAGATATTAAAAAATTATATTATATAATATGAATACTTATACAGATTTATTACTTTTTCGCAGAGACGTTTTGACACTTTTGACATCATATAAATATTTATTGATAAAATATGAACTACACGTGTAATGTTATTTAATGACAAAAAACACTATTTATGAGAAATTATAATTCTAATCGTCATTTTATAGTCAGTTTTATTGCGTAATTGCTATAAAGACATGAATTTATTTTGCCGTGGCCTTACAGGTCATTTGCCTTGAGCTCGCCATAAATTATCGTAGCATTGATATTTCCTCACACAATGTCGATAACCGTGAAGATATGTGCGATCATTCTAAGAAAACGCTGTATCAAGAAACTTGGTAAATAATTCATTTTTCATTCTTTCCTTCAGATATCCCGGCAGTGGTATCATTCCCACATTTTCTCGACGCTGATCCCAGTTTGCTGGAAAATGTAGAGGGTCTTAAGCCTGACCGTGAGAAACATGGGTCTTATGTAATACTGCAGCAAGTAAATAACATGAAATAATACTTGATTTATTATGAAACGTTATTTGAAATTTATCAAATTTCGTTGTTTCATTGTATTTTGTCAAATGTTATATTTGAGAAACTAGCATAATTTTATATTATTTTTTAATGATATTATTTTTTAAAAATGTGAAAATCATCCTTTAAAAAAGACATCGCTCGAAAAGGATTTACACGATTTACACGATTTATTGATTGAGCACATTGAGCACTAGCAGCAAATATTACAAATTAAATGAACACTCAGCAGTTACTTATGCGATGAGGATTAGATAAGTCTTATGCACGGATTATTCAATCGCGACACTATTTCTCTATTACGCATATGAAGAACACGTTCGAAAGTTGTCTATTATCTACTGCCACTTGAGTCTTATCTAACATCTATGTAATGATGACATAAAATGCGGCTGTCCATATCGAGAGTTTCTCTAAGATGATTAGATTCTAATTGGTACACGCTATATATATATATATTTCAAGTTTTGCATGCTATCTCACAGAAAGTAAACTATGCTAGTGCAAAATGCAGAAATAAAATGATTGGAAGTATTATTCAAATACAATAAAAAATAATTTTTATATTTAATAAACAATTCGTGAGCAAAAATGAAACATCAAACATCCTGAGATTTTCTAATAATTATTTAAGATGCAGAAACTTTCTCTTTATTGACAGAATATATTTTTCGTACAAACTTTTCTTATATATTGCTTTTATAAATTTGGAAATCCTTTTCCATAATTAAAAGTTTATGCATTGATATGCGTTTACTACGTGAACAAGAAAGAGAAAAATTTTTTTAATTTAGATTTTTCCTACTATAATATGGCGTCCAAAGCTACCAATTCATGTCAATATTCGTTTTATATAAAAATTTTATAGCATATTTATAAAATATTTATAAAATATATTTATAAAATTGATATTATCAAACAAACAGGTTATATAAAAAAAACAATATTGAATTTTTTAAATTAGGCTTAGACATGTAATATGATACGAAAAGTTTATACGAAAATTTGTACATATGTGTGCGTAAATATATGTATCAGCGTATGTATGTATATATATGAATATATGTATGCATATTTAGATGTGTATAGACGCTTTTCCATCGGAGATTAGTCATCTTTCTCCTTAAATCTGAAAAGCATGCTAATAAAACTTATTTTCATATTCTTTCAGACTATCGGTATGCCCCTATACTTTTATTCTAGGATGCAGACGAATTTGATAATGTACCCCACGCGACACAACACTAAAAATTATGCCTTTCAATGACATCACGATACCTTTATTTTGGACTGAAATGGTAAGCAATCAACAACTTTGCAGCTATAATATTCAGCTAAAATTTTTTTCTTTGTGAAAGTCGATTATATATAGATATATATATATATATATATATATATATATATATAATAATAAT